AACGGGATTAGTGCCCTTATAAAAGAGGCCCCAGAGAGCTCTCAGGCCCTCCATGTGAGGATACCCTAAGAAGTTGGTAATCTGCGTCATGGAAACTGGCCCTCATGAGAACCCAACAATGCCAGAGCCTTGATCTTGAACTTTCTAACCTCTAAAACTGTGATAAATAAATGTGTGGTGTTTATAAGCCATCTAGTATATGATGTTTGTTAGAGCGGCCTGAATGAACTAAGACAGGGAACATTTCTGGCATCGAGTGGGGAGAGGCCAAAGATGCTGCCACACATCCTACAATGCACAGGCCAGCTTCTCCCTGCCTCACACAAGAAAGAATTACCCTGTCCAGAATGTTAAAAAATCAGAGGCTGGGAAACTCAGAGCCAGCCAATTCCCCTCACCCCTACCCTCTTCCCCAGAGTACTTGAATTGATACTTGTCCTGCATCACATTTGCTGTGTAATAGTGATACACAGGAGATGGTAAAGTCACAGGTGTTTGGTTCCTGTGAAGAGAGAAACACAGGTAGATGGTGCTGATGCTGCTCCTCTGGGGAAAGCAGTTTGAGAATCTAACAAACTTTGCACCTTTCTGTTCTGTCCTCTTTCCATCCAGGTCTGGGAACCCAGGGGCAGCTTTGGTTATGCTTTACGAGTAAGTAGTGCCACCTAGTGGGACCAGAGTTACCAACACCAGCAGGAATAATTCCAAGAAACATCAGCTGGCTTTCCTGTATTGAGGAGATTCTGTGGAAATCAATGAAGACCACGCAAATGAGGAAACATGGGGAGGCTTTCTATGGCAAGGAGGTCAGCTACCAGCACTTGCAAATGCTGGTGGAAAAGATTTCTACAGGAAAAAAAGAAGGTTTAGATGTAATAGAAAATTGTTGCAGGGCGTTGTGGCTCATGCCTGTAATCCCAGCTCTTGGGGAGGCCAAGGTTGGTGGACTGCCTGAGGTCACAGGTTCGAGACCAGCCGGAGCCAGAGCTAGACCCTGTCTCTAAAAATAGCTGGGTGTTGTTGCTGTAAGGGTCTCACGGAAAAGCGATGTCTCGAAGAATAAGCACGCTTATTGAAATTGTATTTTAAATAAAGGTGACCATCTGCTCACTCAGGCAAAATGGCAAGCTTCTTTATTTGCAGTTGGCTTATATAGGGAATTTTGTACATGAGCACCATTGCGGCATTGCCTTCTTTGTTCCTTTTAACAGTTTATGACCACCTGCCCTGTAAGTAGCTCCTCCCTGGTAATCTGATAATCCACCCAACATACACCTTTAAGCATAATCCTTTCATTTTACTTTTTTTTTTTTTTTTGAGACAGAGTCTCACTATGTCTCCCTCAATAGAGTGCCATGGCATCACAGCTCACAGTAACCTCAAACTCTTGGGCTTAAGCGATTCTCTTGCCTCAGCCTCCTGAGTAGCTGGGACCACAGGTGCCCACCACAACACCCGGCTATTTTTTTGTTGCAGTTTGGCTGGGGCTGGGTTTGAACCCACCACCCTCAGTATATGGGACTAGCACCCTACTCACTGAGCCACAGGAACCGCCCAATCCTTTCAATATAACCTGGTTTAACATAACTTAATGAAGAACATGTTGTCAGTTATTACTTTCTTTGATCTTATCTGATGAAGCCTAAGGGTACGGGGAAAGAGACGATTTAGGTGTTTCACCTATAGGTGTTGTGGTGGGCGCCTGTAGTCCCAGCTACTTGGGAGGCTGAGGCAAAAGAATCACTTGAGCCCCAGAGTTTGAGGTTGCTGTAAGCTATAATGCCACAGCATTCTACCAAGGGTGACAAAGTGAGACTCTGTCAAAAAAAAGAAAGAAAGAAAGAAAGAAAATTGCTGGTGGGGGAATCTGGAGATGGGCATCATGTGTGACTGGTGTGGTCCTGAGTTTGGAAGTGGGGGTGAAAGTTAGGGCAGTTGGCAGTCCTGATGCTCTGGGTCTATTGCTACAGATGTTGTGGTTTGGCTTCCTGGACTGGTTGCTGAAGGTTGTGTGGGTCACAATTCTATTGTCACATATGGTCTGGCCATTGTCCCTTTGTTTATTAGTCTCTTAATTTGTTAATCATTCTAAATATGTCCATTCCTGCTGTTACCAGTCCTGAAGGGGATTGCATAAAGTACCCATGTGAGGCCAGGCACAGTGGCTCAGGCACTGTTGGGAGGCTGAGACAGGAGGATGGCTTGTGCCCAGAAGTTCATGGCTGCTGTGAGCTATGATCACACCACTGCACTCCAGCCTGGGTGACAGAGCAAGACCCCATCTCTAAAACAAACAAAAGAGTTACCCATGTGAGAAGTGTCTGTGCTATAAGCCAACATCTTTTGTGTTTAAAGGATGCCCTTATAACTTTTGATGTAGGGTTTATAGTTGATATAGCTGCTTGTTTTTGCTGTCCATGGCGACTTAGTATGCATGGCACCACTCTCCTAATTGACATGGACCCCTAGTCATTTCACAATATCACCTGCTTGGGACTGGCTAGAGTTCTTTACAGTGCTACTTCCTCACTACCATCATCACTGTCATCAACACTACCACTATCACCATCACCAACCACCCTCCAAACTACAATTATTATCACCACCACCATCACTGTCACTACCACCATATTTGCCACCACCTCTAAGGTCAATGATTCTCAAACTGCTTTCCCCAGAGGAGCAGCATCAGCATCACATGGGAATCTGTTAGAAATGCAAATTTGGGGCTCAGCACCGTAGCTCAGTGAGCCACATACACCGAGGGTGGTGGGTTCGAGCCCAGCCTAGGCCTGCTAAACAACAATGACAACCACAACCAAAAAATAGCCAGACATTGTGGCAGGCGCCTGTACTCCCAGCTACTCAGGAGGCTGAGGCAAGAGAATCTCTTAGGCCCAAGAGTTTGAGGTTGCTGTGTGCTGCGACACCACTGCACTCTACCAAGGGCAATATAGTGAGACTCTCTCTCTTTCAAAAAAAAAAAAGAAAAGAAATGCAAATTTGGGGATCCCACCCCAGACCTACAATGTGAGAAACTGGGGGTGGAGGATGCAGCCCTCGAGGTGATTCAGATGAACAGTAAAGTTTGAAAGCCACCACTCTGGATAAATTGCTAAAATGTCACAAAGGCCATATTTTAAATCAGACCTTCCACAGTGTATCCTCCTAATTTGTGAAAATATGTCTGTTTTATGAAGCACTAAGAAGCAGAACAACCTTCATCTAGATAATGGAAATGACCACATTTGCTACCATTTATTGAACCTCCTTACAAACAAACAGCCTTGAGGGGTATGTACAATTCTCATCTCCATTTTACAAATGGGAACAGAGGCTCAGAGAGGTTAAGGAACTTGTCCCCAAGAGCAAGGTGACACAGAACCAGGCTGAATAAACTCCAGAATTTGTGTTGTTAACTACCGTTAAACATACTAACTCCCAGAATCATAAATCCGAGTCTGGAGGACTGGTAGAGCTTTTAGCTGAACTTGGACAGCTTTACTTGAGTTTCCCTCCTATTTTGCCTAAGGAGGAACAGAAGTCCAGAGAGACTTGCCTGGGATCACTGATTAGGGGCTAAACCCAAGACCACTTGTTTCAAATTAGTCCTTAATAAGCCTTTTGGGGAATCGGAGACATACAGGAATATTCTGAACACCATTGGATTAGAGTGAGTAAATAAATCAGGAGGAAGTTAGGGAAGCAGTTAATGACGGGCCATATTTCAAACCAGTGGTGGCAGGTACTTCTGCCTAGCGAAGTGCGGAGCGCTGCCCAGCATCCTCAGGAAATGGGGAGTGGCTTGTTAGTACACAAGGCAGGAGACACTGGCTACGCCCCCATTCGCGTCTGTAGCGGCCGCCCGGGCTGCGAGCGCTCGTAGCGCTTTCAGCAGCGGGAATCATGGGCACGCGTCGCCCTAGATCCCCTTCTACTTGTGATGCCACAGACCCACCCTCGGCTAGACTTCTGTGGAATTTTCTCACCAGCATGGAGATAAAGGCTGTGGACACACAAAGGTGACCCTGGTTCCCTAGTCAGGCAGCCTCACAAATCCCAAGGGCAGAGAAGGTGGCTGAGGACCAGGACCAGGGTCCCTTCCGTGGCTGTGTGGCTGACTCCCAAGCTCTACCTTTCTCTTCCCGGTCACCAGGGCCATCTGACCACCCTTTGGTTTTTCAAGGTTACACACACACACATTCTCCAAAAGTTCACACCAAATTCCTTCCTATTATGGGGTTTTATTCTTCTGGCCCCCACTTGCGAGGCCTTGCCTGGCCTTCCTTTCCTCTCCAAGTAGCCCCACACTATGGCTGTCCTCTAGTTTTCGCTTCGCCACACTTTGAAATCGCCCATTTCTGTATTCTCGTTAGATTCCCCTTATCACGTGATTAGCCTGTAAGGCAGAATATATATATCCACTTCCCTGGTCCCGCACGAAACCTAGCTCAATACTTGTTACTGGGGCTCTACAAATAAATTTGCCACACCCACCCCTACCACCGCCCCCAAAGCTGACCCGTGTTCAGAACCTGCCTTCAACTCATCGCTTTCAAGCTCTTTGTCATAATGAAAGTTACCAAGAAGTCAGTGGAGAGACGGACGCGAGGGTTTGGTGGTCGTCCGTTTTGCATTTTGTGTTGAACCTCTTTCTCAGACCCACGGCCCACGCGTGGCAGTTGGGGCCGCGTCCCCTTTAAGGGGCGGGTCCCGAGAGGGTGGGGCGGGGCGCTCCCGGAAGACGCTGCCGCGCGGGCGTGACGCCTTGGCCCGCTCCAGCCCCGCCCGGCGCTTGCCCCCCTTCACAGTCTCTCGCCCCAGACCGGGCGAGTGGTTGACCCTGCGGCAGCGGGTCCTGCCTCCGCTTGCGCGGCCGCCTAGCGCAGGTGGCGCCTGCCCCGGGCCTGGCTTTCGCTTCCGCCCTGGCCACTCTGGCTCTGCAGTTGGTTCGGCTCTGATCGCCCCCCGCCGGCGCACCGGGGGTCGGGCGAAGGCGCCCGGGACGAGGTGCCCGAAGGGAAGAGAGTGTGGAGTACCGGCGAGATGGTTGCGCCCTGCAGCCCGGGGTTGGCGTCGGTGGCTCTGCGGGGACAGGGCTGGGCCTAGCCTGCACGCGGGAGGTCGAATGTCAGGGCTGCCCCCCAGGCCAGCACAAATCGTCAGACCAGCTGTGTGCTCCTTAAGCCCAGGGCAGGCAGTTTCGCCCACGGGTCTCTGGGGAGGATGGTGACCCCCTGGCGCTTCTCTGTCAGGCTCTGCTTGTCGCACCTAAGGTGTTTTGAGCTCAGAAGGGAACTGGGCCTTCTAAGACCCTCGGAATGCTCTCGAAATGCCAGACTCTGTTGGCTTTTGCTAGGTACTTTACCCAAACTCGTTTTAGCCTCTGGGGACATTGATGAGGGCCCCCCCGACACCTTGTGCCTGCGAAGGGCCCGCTGGAGTGACCCTGCTGAAGGTGGACCGGTGGGGAGGTTCTCCCAGGCTGGGCGGCTAGGCTGCATCTTCCTGCATCTCCGCATCTGGCTCCGGGCAGGCGCCCTCTTGGTGAAATTCTTCCCTCTCCTCCTACTCTACCCGCTCACTTACCTGGCTCCCAGCGTCTCCACCCTCTGGCTCCGCCTGCTTCTGAAAGCCACTGAGACCTCAGGTCCCACGTACATCAAACTGGGCCAGTGGGCCAGCACCCGGCGAGATCTTTTTTCCGAGGCTTTCTGTGCCCAGTTCTCCAAGCTGCATGTACGAGTGACCCCCCATGCTTGGACTCACACTGAGCACTTCCTCCAGCAGGCATTTGGGGAGGACTGGGGGAGCATTCTTTCTTTTGAGAACCAAGAACCTGTGGGCTCTGGCTGTGTGGCCCAAGTGTACAAAGCATATGCCAACATTGCCTTCTTGGAGAGTGACAGCATCCAGAGACTTGATGGGACCTCGTGTCTGCAGCCTTCCTCGGAAGCTGGGGCAGTCAGGGGGCTGAGAGAGCTCTTTGGACACCCCGAGAAGGGGTGGACACCTCCAGGAAATCTTGCTGACCAGTCATTTCTAGAAAGACTGCTCCTCCCTAAAGCTGACTTAGCTGGATCAAATGCAGAGTTGTCTCAGGCTTTGGTCCCTGGCCACTGCCCCAAGACAGATCACCTCATCCCTGTGGCAGTGAAGGTAAGTATATCTTTAAGAGATAGCCCACACCTCACCTACCCACTGGGCTTTTCCAGATCAGAAGGCCCATGCAACCCCTGCCCCCATCCCCACTCCTCATTTATTTCTATGTGCTTGACCAATATGAATGTGTGTTACATGCAAGTTGTTTAGTTCTTGGCTTAAGGGAGTGGTGGTATGGATAATCTGATAGAGAAGAAGAAGGAGAATGGTTTGGGGTTTTCTGCCCCTGCGTGTGGAGGAACAATCCTCCTCTTTCTTCTGATAAGCAGCCCCCTGCCTTCTCCTCTGAGGGTGGGACCCAGGTCTGGGTGGGTAAATGGGTCCTTCTGTCTGATTGCCCCTCCTGTCTCTCTGTTGCTCTTTCTGGCAGGTATTGCACCCTGGCCTGCTCTCCCAGGTGCACATGGACCTGCTGCTGATGAAGATTGGCAGCCGAGTCCTTGGACTTCTGCCAGGAATCAAGTGGCTTAGCTTGCCTGAGATTGTGGAGGAATTTGAGAAGCTCATGGTCCAACAGGTGAATTCTCTTTTCTTCAGCTATAAATAGCATCTAATACAGTTTTTGCCGTTAGCAGTCCTCCCCAAATATTGAGTGGCTGAGTGATTTCCCAGTGTGTTATGGCTAGTGTGATGCGTTAGGGTAGGTTATGCTCATTGATAAAACAAAGAACACCCAAGTGTCAGTAGCTTAATGTGACAAGGTAACTCCTTTCTTATACGTGCATTAAAATTCCATGCAGGTGGCTCAGTGCCTATAGCTCAACCGGCTAAGGCGCTTGCCACGTACACCCAAGGTGGCGGGTTCGAATCCCCAGCCCGGACCTGCCAAACAACAATGACGGCTGCAACCAAAAAATAGCCTGGCGTTGTGGCGGGCGCCT